GGATTTAGGGTTTAGGGATTTAAGGTTTCAAGTTTTTGGATCGGGCTCTTCGGTCTGAGGCTTCTTGGGCTTTAGTGTGGAGACTAGGCTTACCTAAACCCTAAACCCTAAACCCTAAACCCTAAACCCTTAAACCGTATTCTGTGGGCTGTAGAGTTTGCAGATATGTGAGGTTAGGGTTCTCCAGGGCCTACCATCCAGCGTGCGTGCAGAGTGCATGTAGGAGATTTCGTGCCAAGAGTTTTTTGGGCGTAGGCTTATGCAGAATCCCTTAGCAAAGACCCTCGCGCCTCACGCCCATGACCACACCAACGACCCCAAACGCTAAACTCCTAAGCCCAGCCCTTCGGAATAATTAGCCACAATATCCCCGAATAGTCCCATGATGAGGCTCCTTCATGTCACTCCGAAGCCCGAAACCCTAAACCTTGACACCCTAAACCCTGAACCCTGAACCCTGAACCCCAAACCCTAAACGCTGAACCCAAACCCTAAACCCCAAAAGCCCTATCATAGCCCTAGACCCTTTGTCAGAAATCCAGGCGGACCTAGTACTCCAAGAGCAGAAGGTGCCGGGCGCCGCCCCGCCGTCGCCTGGGGCCTCGGAGACAGTAGGGTTTAGGGTCTAGGGTTTCGGGTTTAGGGGCTGAGGGTTTAGGGTTACTCGAATAGTGGCTTAGGGCTCAGGGGTGAGGGTTTAGGGTTCAGGGTTTCGGGTTTAGAGTTTAGGGTTTGTGTAATCAGAGAATCCAGCGCTGTCTCCTGAGGGTCGGCTTTAACGTGTTGCTTAAAGGGTTTTACAGGGTTTCTGTAAGGAATATTATACCCTAAAGCACAGTCAGGAAGCCTCATATTCCAATTAATGGGTTGTTCGGAGTCTCGGATACCTCATGTTGTTCAACGCAGGTAGTGACCACAGTAGTAGCAAAGATGCACGATGACAGCCACAATGGTGCCACTCGTTGCGAAGGGTCATTCTGATTGACCACAGCCGTGCTGAATGGTAATATCGAGGCCTAAATAAATACCAACACTATTCTGGGGTTCCTTACTATAACTATAGTATAGTATACCTCTAAAATCCTATTCTAATTTTTGAGGACAGAATTTTGGGGCTTTAGAAATTTTCGAAGGCCGAGGGCTTTATGGATTTATGGCTTGAGGTTTTGAGGTCCAGGGTCTGCGGTGGGGGTAGCCTGCATCCAAGCTTCTAGAACCCCAAACCCTAAACCCTAAAACCCTAACGCCCTGAACTCTGAAACCCTAAACCCTAAAACCCTAAAGCCCTAAACCCTAAAACCCCAAAGTCCTAAAACCCTAAAGCCCCGAAGCCCTAAACCCAAAGACCCTGTCACACTTGAGAAATGTGCGAGAGCCTGCATGGTCCCTTTTTGCAGATCCCCCCCGCAACCAAAGAACCCAAAGTCGCAAGCCCAAGCCGTACAATAAACCTTGCTAAACTCCCTGAAAACCCTACAAACCCAAAGCCCTAAACCCTGAACCCTCAACCCCCCTAAACCCTAAGCCACAGCTCCAAGAGGAAAGCTCGACTGACATCCGCATTGCGGCATGCAAAGCGCAGCGCCGAATTCTGGGCGCCTCGGATTGTTGGCTCAGGGTTTCGAAAGAGTGGAGGGTTTATGGTTTAGGATTCAAGGTTTAGGGTGTAGCGTTGTGCTTTTTGATTCGCAGGTTAACAGTTGCCGTTGGAGACTTGAGAGATGCATTTTGACAGTACTTGTTGGGGGGTTTTGGGGTTTGAGGGTTTAGGGTTCAGGGCTTAGGGTTTAGGGGTTTGAGGTAGAGTGGATTTAGGGTTTAGGGTTGAGGGTTTAGGGTTCACCTTAAGCCTTCAACCCATACAAACCGCAGGGACATCTGTCTTCGAAGTTTCAGAACCTCATATCTCCCCCGTCTTCAGGGGTGGTAAACCCGGGAATATAAAGAGTCGCAATTTCGTGCCGTCATATCCCCCTGAGAGTCCCAATGCCATTTAAGCAAAACCTACCCCCTAAACCGAACACCCTAAACCCTAAAACCCTAAACCCTTGCAGCCTAAAAGCCCAAACCCTATAACCCTGATCCCGAAAACCCTAAACCTAAAACCCTAAACCCTAAACCCATCCTAACTGTTGCTTTCGGGTAGCCGGACCCTGGAAACTCCGACACTGTGCTGTGAACTACAAACGATCTCAGACCAAAGGCATGAGGTGTGGGAATGGGTTTAGGGTTTAGGGTTAGGGTTTAGGAGTTTAGGGTGT